TTTAACGAAACATAAAAAAAAAAAAAAAGAGCGTTAAACACAAAACCCTGCAGCCGCACTGAATGAAACCTTGTGGTGTTTCAGTGGTGAAACTGAGTTTGTGCATAAACAAATGTCAGTGTTTCGTCTTCCAACTTCTTCAGATATATAGATTCATATTGTTCCACTTCCTGCATTGAACTGTTGTGTCATGCCTCACCCTCTTCCTGTGTTGTCAGGACGACCACCGTCAGACAAGGCGATGGTGATGGTGCGGGCGTGGTCAGCCAGCACACGGTAGGCCATGTCGATGCCGTCAGCATCCTCAGCTCCTACTTTACCAGTGTAAGGTCGAGCACCAGTACCCTGGAAAAATAAAAACACCAATTGTGTTGGAACTGTGCGCTTGTATGCACCTACAGCAAACAAGTTTATATTCATCCTGATTATGAACACTTGGTAAACTTTATTATTTTATCCATTCATCAGATTCTTGGGCAAAATCTAATTTTAGCCTTGAACATTATCAGGCTTGAATTTGTAGCTGCTGAGTTCCAGTGCTGAGGCCAGAGGTGAGTTAGGACGTTTATTGTGTATTTACACTTCCATTCAATACATGATTCTTAGTAAAGTCCGCACCTTCTGAATGGCTTCAAAGTACGGGACGAAGAGGTCGGTGTCGTAGTTGGACATTTTGTTCTGCAGGACAGACACCAGACGCTCCAGACCCATCCCCGTGTCGATGCTCTTCTTAGGCAGCGGCTTCAGCTCCGTCTCTGACTCTCTAAACAAAGACATGAGTTACAAAGATTATAAACAACATAAACAAGACGACAGCACAATCGAAGGAACTGTAAAACCGTTTGGAGGGTGTGAACACTTTATTTAGAGGTGTGTCCAAATTCCAGCTTCACCTGATCTTATAACTGATGGTTAGGTTTTTATTTAGTTTTGCTAATTTAAAACTGACTGAACAGGTTAAGAAGCCTCGGGAACAAGCAGCACAGAATATATATATGAATATATTCTCTCTGTGAGCCTGTTACCTGTTGAACTGGATGAACACCAGGTTCCAGATCTCCAGAACGTTGGGATCATCCATGTTCACCAGGTGGGAGGCGTCTCTGCCTCCGATGCGGTCATAGTGCATCTCGCTGCAGGGACCGCAGGGACCAGTGTCTCCCATCTCCCAGAAGTTATCCTTCATATTGCCGGGCAGGATGCGAGCCTCGTCCACCCTGAGAGAAACAAAAGCACAGAGAGAGAGAAAACTTCATTATATCAGTTCTATTCTAACAGGTAAAAAACTAGTGAAATCATATGTGCTTCACAATTTTAATTGTTTTCTGTTATCAAATGATATCAAGTTGAACTTGTTAAGTTTTAAGTGCTAAGGAGACATTGATTAAACGTTACACGTGAAGTTAAAACTGTGAGAAGTGGAGATAAAAAGATCTCAAGATGAAGCATAAATATAATGACATAAAAATAACTAATCATCTAAAGTTACTCAAATAACAACCGAAATAAAAAGTCTTTCTCTTGACATTTTTACAAATACATCTCATCCTCCAGCGAGTCTCACCCCAAATCGATCCAGATCTGTTTGCACTCCAGGTCGGGCTCCAGGCCGGCTCCGTCGTCGCCACCAAAGTAGGTGACGTAGAGGCGGTCTATGGAAATACCAAACGTCTCCGTCAGCAGCTCCAAGGCCATTTTACAGGCGAGGTGCTGCAGAGGAGGTGAAGTTGAAGAATCAGACCATGTGACAAGTCCAAATTAAGTTTATTACAAACAATATTAATACTCAACAAGTATCAGTGGGATTACAATTGTGTAGAAGGCGAGACAGAAGTGACACCGCTGAAGAGGATGACAACACGATACCTTGAAGTAGTCCCCAAAGGACCAGGACCCCAGCATCTCGAAGAAGGTGTGGTGATACACGTCCCGGCCCACGTCCTCCAGGTCGTTGTGTTTGCCTCCTGCACGGATACACTTTTGGGTGTTGGCGGCACGACGCAGCCTGGCCATAGGGTGGGAGGGATCGATGGTGTTGAGGAAGATGGGCTTGAACTGAGAGAAGGGAGAGGAAAAAAATAAACTCATTTGTGATTTGTCAAAACATTGTTCAAGTCCGTTGGCAGATATAAAACAGTCAACTTGAAGGAGAGAGGCACAGACATTTGGGAAAGACATGGAGACCCACCTGGTTCATGCCAGCGTTGGCGAACAGCAGCGTGGGGTCGTCCAGTGGGATGCAGGATGACGAGTGGACGTACTGGTGCTCATAGCCACGGAAGAAGTCAATGAACTTCTCACGGATCTCAGCTGCACTCAAAGAGGAGTCCATTCTGAATCAGCTTTCTGATTGAACAAACACAAAACAATAACCGGTAAGAAAGAAAGACAATCCTTACTGGTTTATAGATGTTGGTCATAAAAGTTGAAGTGTTTAAAATGTTGCCAGTAAATCATCATGAGCAGGTTCTCACTGCTCTTCTGCTCGTCTGACTGTAATTATCAGATTGGCCTGAACGACTGCCGACTCTGAAGAGTTATGGAGTTGCATCAGCAGAGTGCAGACACTAGAGGCAGTGTGTTGTATGTTGTTCATGCAGTCATCCCCAGATGTTGGTGTAGAATATGTGGATGAATCTGGTTGAAGTTTCCCAGCACGATAAACAACAACAACAACAACAACATGGACATGAGCTGAGTGAGTCTGTTTGGTGTCACATAAGCATTACAGGAGCTGAGGGCTGAATGTGAACTGAGTTTATGTGGACATTTGTAAAATGTGTGATTTGTTTCCCGGGCTTTGTTAAAGGGTAATAATGACCCCACTAAACTGCTGGTAAAAGAAATCTCAAAAAGATCTTTCAATTTTCACAGTTGAGCAATTTGCCCATGAGGCGACGACACCAGTTACAAACCAGTTTAACCAGCTGAGCCTTTTCTGTGGGTCAACTATCAGCCCCCAGGCCTGATTGGTTTCAACACACTCTCATCATATTGACAGAAATAAAATAAGGGAAACGTGCAGCTCAGTTAATATGATGGTTAGTTAATATAATAAATATTGCATGTTATCTGAAGACAGAGGAATAAGTTGTCTAGGCTAGCACTACAATAAGATAGGAGATATGACCGTACACACTTTAAGATCATATAAACTGCAGACTGTCACAGGTTTCGATAAATGATGTTTACCTACTTAAGTGCTGAACACAATTAAAACTAAAATGTGTATTTGTCAAAATAAAAGGTGAAACCCAAACACATTCTATTTGCAAAACAGACAAAGAAAGATTTTTTTCCTGAATAAAAGATTTGGACCATAAATCTGAAATTCTGTCAATAACTTTCCTGTCAACCGACTTCCTCTGCCGACCACTGCCCTAATATCAAGTCAGTTTGTAAAGTGTACGTGTTCTAACAAGCCGTCTGAGCAGAAATCTTCTGCCCTGTGATTTCCCTCCTCTCATAAACCAGCAGCAGCTCAGGAATCCTGTGAGGCCTGTGAGGCTTTTCTTTCAGCGATGCACTATAATCAAACTGACACTCACTTTTGGTTCTGACTGACAACGCAGCTTTGTAATATTACTGCAGTATTGCATCAGTGCTTCACTCAAACTTATGGTAGATTTCTACGCTTTTGAAGCTTAAATGGGGAAAAACGTCTGTTGAAACCCTGAGAGCTGCCATTAGATACCTAGAGAGATGAATGAACAGCTGTCAAGGACGGCAGGGAAAATTAACCTTCAGTCGAGGGCCATCAAAAACAATTATGATAATCAATCAATAGCTGAACTTATTCATCAGGTAAACTGTCAAGCGTTGCTGTTCCCATTCTGAGGAATTAAGGCTTTTTATATTTATATTATTGTAAATTTAACAAACTTTTATATATTTTAATGGCCTAATGAATAAATAAAGAGATTCAATTTAGTCGCTAGCTCCACAAGTGACGTCTTCTAGATCTTCAAATTGTGTCGTTAGTGAAATTCTGTCACAGAATTAAAATGTCTTTAATCTATGTCTCCTGGGAATTTGTCCACTTTGTGTGCCGTGGTGTCCAGATGTTATTTTTCTAAATCAGAGACTGAAGAGATGTGGATGAAAAGCTCACTGAGACATTGCACGAGATTTCACACATAGAACACCAAATACTCCTGAATGACTTAAATCACTCCATGTGGCCTTGAAACCAAACACTATAGCCACCGTATCGCAAAGAACAGGATGCTTCCTAGAATCATAAATGGCAGCAGAATTCAATTCCCATCAGCGCACTCGTTTATGAACCAGCCGGCGAAGGAAACCACACAGCTGATACATCCAGCTCTCTGGGGCCGGCACACGGACGGTAAACAGGCGGCGTCCCCATCCTGACTACCAAACCGCCCTGATGGCAACCGGAGGAAGTGGAGACATTGGGGTGATGGGATGGAAATTTCTGCCTCTGCAATAAACAGACTGTTTGACAGACGCAGCGTTGTGAAGATGAAACTCAAGACATTTTGACGTGTATCTTATAATTCAGAGTGTGATTAGGACGTGTATTATATATCAAATGTCGTGTACTTATATATGTTTACACCGAGGACGAGAGAGAAACTGCATTTCAATCCTGTCTGTGTCCCAAAGCTCAGAATTGAATATACAGTTGACTGATTTTGGTCTTTTCCAATCTGGAAAGTGTTTCTTGTTAAAGCAGCGACACAAATAAAACTGGAAGTAAACACAAAACAGGATCCAATCAATGAAAACAGGCTCAAGGATGTGAATAAAAATGAAATCACTGCTCTGACAGATGACGAAGCTACTGATTATTATTACATGAGTCAATATCCAGATGAAGCAGCTGAGCGTTTTGTTTAGAAGAAACTTGAACTTGATGCCAAACTTTCATTTTCACCCTGATGATGATGATGATGATGATGAATCACTTGTCTCTTGCAAAACCAGCAGCTCAGGTGTAAATAATCACAGGAGCATAAAAACATCAAATGTCTCCTCTCGTGTTAGAAAACCTCCTTTGTCTCAGTCTGCTCCTGGAAACCAGGATAGTGAATCCACGAATCCCTGATCTGACTGCAGCGTGTCGGGCTGAGGCGACTAGCTTGACAGGCTGACGTTAGCGAGCTAAAAGTTAGCTAACCCGGCTACAGCTGCGCCTGGAGGAGACACGTCCGCTCGGTCTTCTGACAGAAACACACTTTGTAAAAGCACAACGTGGATGTTAATGGCGTCCGCGGGCGGTTCAGAGCGGGAGGATACTCACAGAAGTCGCTTTTTCTCGCAGGATGAGTCGCTGTTAGCCGCCGGTTAGCTCCACGCTGCACGACCAGGAGGACACGGCTCACAGACCGAGGACACGCCCAAGCGCGCCTCCTATTGGTCCAGCGCGCCTGCACGTCGGGGATGCTCTACTGCTACTGGACGAGCCTGCTGTCGATCAGAGGCAAGCCCGCCCCCGCTGCAGGGGTAACTTCCCCTGTTCGGCTGATGCAATGGAAAAGACTTTACTGTCAACACACTTGTTTAATTAACAAATGTGACAGAAACGTTTATATTCGTTAAATATGAAAGGTTATAAAATTTGTTTTTTTTCCACCAGTAATTATTTCTGGTTTATATTTATTCGTGTATGTGTGAACGTCCAAGTCATCATAAGAACATTTCTCATCCTCATGTTGTAATTGTGAATTATTAATGATGAATAAATGTTATTGCAAACACGCAGGTTTCATTTATTTACTTGTAATTTCATTCAGCGACCCGAACCGACGGAACTAATCATCGGCGTGCGGTGTTTCCGATGGGACGGGTTTCCGCGCAGGACCCGCGCACACGCTGTTGTCACAGTGAAGTGTGTTCGTCTCTCTGCTCCGCATCATGCCGACCGACACCAAACGCATACGCGGCCCGGAGGTGTCCCAGAGCCCGTCTCTGTTCGCGAGCAAGCCCGCGGCCGCTCCTCCGACCCGCGGCGCCAGAGCGGACGGCCGGCGCCGGGACCAGGTGGACGTGCGGCCCGTGTTCGTCCGGTGCGGGCTGGTGAGTCAGGCCAAGGGCTCCGCGTACATCGAGGCTGGAAGCACCAAGCTGCTGTGCTGCGTGTACGGCCCCAAAGAAACCGAGAGGAAGGATGAGACCGACATGAAGTGTGGAAGGTCTGCAGCCATTTCTGTATTCATCCACTTGTCTAACTACTAGTTATAACATGGCGTCAAATTCAGTGGCCTGCAGCCTAACGTGGTCATGTGTGATCGTTGAGTTTCACTAAAGTAACAACCTGTTTGTCCCAAGATCTGAAAAACACATTTAAACCTAACTTAAAGATTCCTAAATGATTATAGCCACGTTTGCATTGTTGTGATATTTAAACGCTTTTATATAAACGTGTCCAGCAATGATAAAAAAACAAACATTTCCCAGTTACTGGTGCTTTAGTAATAATAGTAAAAGTTCTGTACACTGCTGTACTGTACACAAATGGAAAATCAACACTCAACACTTAAAAGACTTAAAATGAGAGAAATCAAAGTCGCATCTCAGATTTAAAAAACTATTTCATTTATTCACCTGTAATTGAAGTCTTATCCCCTTTTTGCACACGTCTGAGTAGTTGTCTGCCATAAATTGTCCCCTTGTCCAGTTGTAAACCACATTTTTACGATACAATCATTAGAGCGTGGTGGCTTTTAGATGTATATTCTAAAGAAATGCAGGCTCTTAGTCAGAGAACATTTGCGAGAGAGAAATAAGCTGAACAAACATCACTGCATCAGTCTTTCAGCGTCTCTGGGACGTCGTGTCAGAGCTCTGTGCACAGCTCCCATGATTTCACGTTGCCTCACAATGTCACCGTTTTGATTGAGAGACCATTAGTGGCAGACAATTGCATATTGAGCCTTTAATTTAACTTTTACTGATTTGACAGCAGCCTGTGTTCAGCTGGGTTCACCCTCACTCATTCACATCACTACAGTGTTTGTTTGTTATATCTATTGTTGGAATAATTCATGAAGATAACAAACCTCTGTCTTTCTCTGTGTGTCCAGATTAACAACAGACATGCGTTTCGCTCCCTTTTCCTGCCCAGAGAGGGGCTCCTGGATTCAGGGGAGCCAGGAGAAAGACTTCTCCCTGATGTTACATGAGAGTCTGCAGCCGGCGGTGTGCCTCCACAAATACCCCCGCTCTCAGATCGAGGTCAACGTGATGGTTCTCGAGAACAGCGGCTCAGTTTTGGCCCATGCAGTCACGTGTGCTTCCCTCGCCCTCGCAGATGCAGGGATTGAAATGTACGATCTGGTGCTCGGTTGCTCCATCCGGCAGGACGGCGACTCTTATGTGGTCGACCCGTCTTACACGGAGCAGAACAGCTGCAGCTCAGTCGACGGCGAGAATCAGGGCAATCTGACTGTTGCGTTCCTCCCCAGCCTGAACCAGATTTCTGGGCTGCAGTCGGATGGAGAAATGACTGAAGAGACTCTGACAGCGGGAGTTCGAACCTGCATCGATGGATGTTACAAACTGTACCCGGTCATCCAACAAGCTCTGGCCAAGGCTGTACGCAGGGCTGCTCCTCCACCATCAGAGAGCTGAGAGACTCGTCATCCATTAACTGCTTGGTTCATAGTTTTTGTAATTTACAGTTTCCAGACATTACACCGACAATATGACCTATTTTTCTGTTTGATGTAATGTCCTTTAAATGATTTATCTTTGCACTTGAAAAAGGAAATAAAGTCTGGAGCGCACGTTTGAAAATTAGATTGACGTTGCTCATGTGGGATATTTTCTGAATGCTTTGTCATGATGTGAAGTACTAAGTGAAAAACAAGAAAATAAACACATTCTTTTGCAAATTGATTTAATAAACATTCATAAATCATAGAGCTGTTGCTCAGTCTTTAGCTTTGCTGCAGGTTAAGGTTTATCAGGTCTTTAAACACATTAAAAACGATCCTCTAAAACAATGGTGCTGTGCCTGAAGCTGTACAACAGATCACATCTCCGATTTAGCCTGAACTCAAGCAGGAACTAACCCTTATGCCATAAGACAGGGGTGGCAACTTTCGTAAGATGGATAACATCTCTGTAACTGTGCATACAACATATGGAACTATATGTTGTATGCACTATGTGGTAGCTTCAGTTGTCTAAGTTTTTATGACAACTGAAGCTACCACAGGTTCTTTTTCATGTTTGGAAGGAGAGGGTGAGGTGAGGGGAGTTCAGCTGCAACATGACACTTCAACACTAGATGTCACTAAATTCTACACACTGAACCTTTAATATCCAGTGCATGTTTGGTTTTTATTAATTTAATACACTGTAAATAAAACAGGCAGCAGTGATTCATCAATGTGAACAATAAACATGATTTAATATTTTGACATCTGCGTAAATGTCAGTGTCAGGAAAGAACATTTAAAACCTTTAACAAATGATCTACAACAAAACCCTCCACCACTGACCTGAGCCTCCAGCCGGTCTGCTGTCTCGTATTTACTCGAACCAGCAGCACGTGGTTTGTTGACGGATCGAATTTCCCACGACTCAGCGAAAAAAAAATAAAAATAAAAACCGAGTCGGAACCAAAGAAGTGTCGCGTCTCCAAAATCGCGTCGAGCCGTTTTCGCGGTGACTCAGACACGCCATTGCTCTGGAGCTGTAACATCCCACCGGCTGGTGAGTGTCACACACCGAAACACAACGAACCAACCAGCCCCGAGACTCAACTCGAGTCCGATCGTCTGACGAACATCCACCACGCGTCCTGACGGCGGCCACGGCCGCGAGCTGTGATGCTAGTGAAGCTAGCTGCCGCAGCTCATTGGGGCTCCTTCGTGTTCACATGTTAGCTCAACAACCACAACCACACACACACACACACACACACACACACACACACACACACACACAAAGAGAGAGAGGGACCGTGGCTGCTGCACAACACAGTCACACACGTGTTGTGTCATTGTTGTGTCGTTAGCCGTGTAGCTACCACATGCTAACCCGGTGTGGCTTAACCCTGTTGTTAGCTGCTAGCTCTTGTGTGTGTGTGTGTGTGTGTGTGTGTGTGTGTGTGTGTGTGTGTGTGTGTGTGTGTGTGTCTGGAAGCTTCACGTTGAACTCGCTCATCAGCTGATTTGTTTTTTTTGTGTCTTTGTTTTGTTCCTTTATTAAATTCATGGAATCTTCAGTCACCTGTGATGGTGACACGCGACCTCAAGAGGGAGCCAAACCCTCACGACTCCTACAACATCATCATCATCATCATTATTATTATAATAATTATAATAACATCTATAATAAGAGACATTTAAGATAAGATGCTTTAATCACCTCTTAAAAACACATTGATTGACTTTCTTTCATTCGATGTTGTTTTTTTCATCGTTTTCTTTTCACCCTTTATTTCATTTATTTTTATTCTCATGTTGCTGCTTTTGAGTTTTCATGAGACAAAGCTGCCGATTGTTATTTACTTTTCTTGCTTTGCTGTTTGTAAACTCAGTTATTTTAAAAAGCGCTGTATGAATAAGGTTTATTATTTTTATTATTATTATATTATTATTACAAGGTGAAATAAGATAATTGTTTATTAGTCCCACAATGGGGAAATTTGCGATATCACAGAAGCAAGAGTAAAAAATATGCATCAGTAAGTAACGTTCAATTACTGATTGCTATGATTACAAACATGAAACTGCATTTGACATTCGATTGTTGTGTGATTCAAACATTGTAAACATTTGCAGATTTGTTGGTAAAAGGACAAATGTCTGTTTCTTTGTTGTGTCATTAACCAGAGGTTAAGGTTTTTAATTCTACAACTACAGCATCGATGTAACTGTTACTCGTTGTCTCTTGCTCTAATTGTTCTCTTGTTAATTTGAATGAATGTTGGTCCCAGTCTGTTTTGAACAGTTAACACTCACAGCTGAGTAATGGCTCTGTGCAGGAGTCAATAGCTGTGTGTTGAACAGGGTTTTAGTCCTGGGACATAAGCTGAGTTCTAATTGATCAGATTGATCAGTCAACTACATCGAAAAAAGAACAAGTCAATTTAATCCACACATTCTCAGCTTTGGTTCCCAGAGGAATAACCATTGACAAACACTGCTACTGAAGTGACCTCTTCGTCTGTGAGGGTAAACAGACTTAGTCTCGCTTTTAAGAAAACACACGTGTGGAATTATACTCAAATTTAAGTTGTTACTGTTTGTGTCTGTAGGTTGAAATGGAAGGGGAAGGGACACCGGGTGTCGACCTGAGCAGGAAGTTTGTGTCGGAGTCTGAGCTTGATGAGAAAAGAAAGAAAAGACAGGAAGAGTGGGAGAAAGTGAGGAAACCCGACGATCCAGAGGGTGAGGATACATCCATTTACACACAGATTCAAAACTGACCAAAGCTCCAAAATAACATCCTCATATTTGTTTACGTCTCCTTCAGAGGCCCCAGAGGAGGAGTACGACCCTCGCTCCCTCTTCGAGCGGCTGCAGGAGCAGAAAGACAAGAAGCAGGAGGAATATGAGGAGCAATTCAAATTCAGTGGGTCCTTGTTGCTGCTATCAGGACTTTTATCTCCTAGTTGTAATCTAGGTTTGACATAACATCTTCTCTACGAGGACAAATACCCAGAGGCTGCGTGTTCTCATCAGGTCATTAACAGTTCACTCAATGGCTTCATGACAAATAGCAGCCGGAGGCAGTGTTCCCACCGGGTGGTCAGCGGTGAAGGACTGAGCACCTGATCACTCAGATCACTTTGAGAGGTGGTCTGGGACGCATGTGTCCACATTCACTGTGTGAACACATGCGTCCTGGGCCCCTACTCAGCTGATGTCCTCTGATTAGCAACAGTTTAAACGTATTTTCTGTGTCCTTACGTTCTTTTATTTGCATAATTTAATTATTTGATCCTGACTTCTGTAGGTCGGATGTTATTCTTGTAGATGCATTATTAGTTTTGCTATATTAATGACTGTGCTACAGCTGAATTATACAATAATCAACTCAGTCAGGAACAGTTGAATGTGCTTATTCTTTGTTTCACGTTTTCTTCCTGTATTTCTCTCTCAGTTGGCAGATGTGAAAATCCATATCCCATCATTCCTTTTATATAATCGGGATAAAAACATGCTCTCGTTCAGTTAAAGCATTAAAGTTTCTCCAGCTTGTCTGAAAAAAAACTGACACCGACAGTGACGTCATTAAACATGAACAGTAAATGTCACGCGTCTGACAAATGTTAAGCTGGTGTTCGAGATTTTTCTTTTCACATGAAGGTTCCTCGTGTATTGATTTAAAACATACTATTATGGTTTGATGTCTGAAAAAATTCACTCTCCCGCCATGTGTTGAGAGCATGTTTGTTTCCATGGTGACAGGGAACATGGTGAGAGGATTGGATGATGATGAGACCAGCTTCCTGGACGAGGTCTCCCGGCAACAGAGCCTGGTGGAGAAGCAACGCAGGGACGAGGAGAAGAAGGAACTGTTGGAATACAGAATATCCTTTATCAAGTGTTTGTTCATGCATAAACATTTACGTTGGTCTGGCAGTCGTTTAATTTTCTCAATACATTCATCTTTTATTCTCCACTTTAGTGAGATGAATCAGATGTAAGAAGCACAGAGAAGTAGGTGAAGTCACAGCTGCAGAATAATCATTTGTCTTGATTAGTTAGTTCATGAAATTACATTTTCTGGAGAGCAGTGTAGGAATTCAGCTCGGAAATCTCAACACGGGGGAATAAAGCTGCAGGTTTTCACGTACAGGGACGTTCTCACATACTGTGTCTGGATTCCAGTGCAGGTCTGAAAGTAGCATCATTTCCTCACAAGCAGTGAAGCTGCTTTCGGGTAATTCTCTGCACTTCATGCTTTTTTCCCCCCCAGAGGAAGGACATGCATGATGCTAATATGTGAGTCTCTTCATGTATGATAAGCAGCTTTCTGAGTGTTGGCAGAGTCAAGCATGTTTCCACCACAGACCAGCTCCTGCTGGGACTGCATCATGCATCTCACACACACACACACCTTCTATGTATAATCTGTGCTGTGTACGGGAGCAGCACTAAGCTGTGTAGAAACAGTGAAGGCATTTCTTTGTGTTACAGCTTCATCTGAAGGACAGAGCTTTTACAAGACCTGTCTATGATTGAGAAGTTTTTGGTGCATAATCAGATTGCCACTTATTTTTGTGTGATTTGATTTATTCCGACTGACCTTGTGTTCATGTGGCCTGCTCTTCTCTTCAGAAGAGGTTATTAAACTCTATTCAATCAGTAGCTTGTGACGAAACAGGAAACTAAACTGTATTTAAATCTATTTAATTAATTAACATGTACTGTACATTCATACAATAACATTTGTAACTCTGACCCCAAATCAGTCGATTCTAACAAACAAATCAAAAAGAAATTCCTGCTTTGTGTTGTTCACATTTGTCCAGTTGTGTTGCTTGTTGCTCTTTGTGCGTTTCATCTGTTCCCCCTCTGTCACTCTGCCGCTGAGTTTGCAGACAGACAGGTTTCTGACAGACAAGTTTGTCTGTGGATAAAGGGAATGGGTTGTCGTGGAAACTGTATCACCGGCTGGTAACTAGGGTGATGATTTAAAGCAGTCGTTTGCTGCTGTGAACACAAAGTCCTCTCAGGTGTGGACCTGAGTTAAAGCATGAACACATCAGGGCTGCTCACATGTCCCCAGTCCCCGGCTTCGTCTTCCACCTGTGTGATTCTCCTTCTTCTTTTTCTGTGTCTCTGCATCTCGACCCTGTTTCACGTCTCCTGAGCTCTGTCCGTCTCCTCGTCTTGTTTTAGCCTCTTTATCTGTGTCGCTCTCTCAACCCTCCTTCCCTCACTCTGTTTCTGCGCCTCACTGCTTTTCTTAGCCTCTCAGAACTGTGTCACTTTTTCTCCCAGAGCACCGATGAGGAGATTTAATGGCTCCTCCTGAAGGGAGGCCAAAATGTAACTTGCTGAATTGACTGCGGCTGAATGGGTCACATGTTTCCACCTGCCCTGCAGCCTCTGCTCTGTCCGCTCTCTAAAGCTCCACTGTGGTTTATTCATCTTAACTCTGCACCGTCACAGCGCTCTAGTGAAGAAGGCGACTGCTGAAAGCCGCAGAGAACCAGAAAAGAAGGCAGCGCCGAAACATTCAGGATCAGAGCAAAGGACCAGTCACCTGTCTCAGGCCCATTTATTGGCTGGAGCTGTAAAGAGACGCAGGTATACACACACACACACACACACACACGCACACACTGCCTCCTCCATGTTAATCAAAGTACATGCTCTTTTTAAAGACAGTCATTGTAGGTCGTTCTTTTCACACTGATGCTTGTTCAAGTTTCTCATTAGTTTGATTTGAATTTGTAATTTGATGCAATGAAAATGGTGTGAAATGATTGACAGCTGAGACTGGCTCATGATTGGTATATAAGTGTGTCTTGCACCACGGTCACCACTGCTCAGACTCTGGCTGGTAGCTGCAGTACCCTGGATATATCGGCTTCCTTTCTGTGCCGCAGGAGGAAAAGGAGAAGCATCGTCCTTCTTTATTTACACTTTATGTTCTCCACCAAATGCTGAGAGTCGCTAAAACCCAGTAAAACAATACAATGAGCTCGATGGGGCTAAAACACTCTAATGACGTGTTGTTGATGGGACATCTTGTTTTAAATCTTCCTCCATCTCTTTTTTTTCTCTCACCCAGTTCTTCCCAGTCGTCAGACAGCAGCAAAAAACAGAAGGTGGAAATCTCAGCAGCAACGACAGGAAATGGAGACAGACACACAGGTGGGCTGCAGCCTGAGGACTAACAGGAGGAGAGTCTGTCTCAGGCAGACACACACACACAGAGTAGTAACACAAACTCACACAACAACTCACTGTTCAGCTGAGGGATGCAAAGATGGAGCGAAAAGGCCACTGACCGTGGAACCTCATTGACTTTACAACACTCTCCAGTCACAGTGCAACATTAGCGTTAGGAAAAAACCTTCGCCAAGGCTCAACTGTCCCCGTATGAAACGTTTAAATCTGCACCGAACTGCACACACTCATAGACGTCAGTCCCCTAAATCTGCCTGATGTCTTTCAGCCAGATCCATGAATCATTCCCTGCTAAGTCTGGATCTGCTGCTTTAGAGCTACTTCAATGTAATTGGTTCTTTCTTGTGTCAAGTAGTTTCGTTGAAATCCATCCTGTTGTTTTTACGTAATCCTGCTGATAAACAAACCAACCCACAAACGGACAGAGGCAAAAACATAACCTCCTTGGCCGAGGTAATATTCACTCTCCATTCAGTGAATTTTTTTTCCATTTCACCAGCATCTACAGTCAAATTTCCATCCTTGACCTTTTACAGAAGAGCCTGTGTGCATGACGCTGACAGTGTGTTGTGTTGTTCAGAACAGGAGGCAGGAGGAGCGGGGGGAGCTGAAGACCAACAAACCGTCCCTGACCTGACGTCCAAGACGCCCTCGGCTCCCCTGAGCTCCGGTCAGGGCGTCTTACACCTGCCGTCCGCAGCCGTGTGCGTCGGCGTTTTACCAGGATTGTGGGTTTATTCTGGCAGCAGCGACTCTGACAGCAGCTCGGACAGCGAAGGTAGCGTGGACCCAATCATGTTGCCGTACCCTCGGCTCAACAGGGCTTACAGATAGACACACACAGACACACACACAGACACACACACACACACACACACAGCCTCTGAAGCTTGTTTACCTGCCTGTAGGATGTTTAACAGTCAGAAAAGGTTACCTCACATAAGAAATGTTAAGGTCGTGCATACACACATTGTTACAGAGGAACACACAAAACAGAGGCTACACAACTTCATGTCATGTTAGAGTCAAACACACACACACACATGTTCAGTGTTCCTGTTGTTTTCACAGCTGTGAGTTCAACTGTCTCTTTGTCTCCAGACAAAGTTCAGCCCATTCAGTAAGATCCAGTGACATTCAAAACCATTTTGAATTTTAATTTAACTAATATCTATTTGTGTTTCTTTCCTACTGTGGCTCTCAAACGTGACACCTCCGTCCTTCCTTTCCCTTAATCACGTCTCACGCAGTTTAAGCCGAGCAACCAATCCCGCACCCTGACGACATCCTGCCCCCACACCCCCCCCCACACCCCCCTCCCATCCCAAGCCACAGCGACTGCAAGTTGTGCTATTGGCTGAGGGAACAGTGACTGACAGCTGTGGAGCGAGGAAGAGACTGTGTCACATGACTCAGAGGAGAGAAGGAAGGACGAGCTTCTTTCTCTCTTTGGGTTCAATGCAAAGTTTGACAAATGTTCGTGTGTGTTCGTGTGATGTGTTTTCCCCGTCAGTCGTGCTGGAAAGACGCTGGAGTGTTTCCTGTCGTCTCAGCTTTGTATTGTTGGTTAAAGTCTGAGCAGAGAAATAAAGAGCTTTCCCTTGTTCTGTGTGTTTACTGTGTCCATGAGTGTGTGAGACAGAGACACAACTTGTTTAACTTTATTAAAATCCATGATACGAACGCTTGTGATGATATAGAATGTGGTAAAAAAAAAAAACCCTGAGGTTTGTGGCGTCTGAACAATCGTCCGTCACCTGATTCAATTACAGAGTTGAGGATTTTGAGGTTTGATGTGTTTCTATGTGAGAAAATTAGAAAGCTAAAGTTTGCCAGTAGAGGCTGATGGGAATTTTATTGGTTGTATGTATTCAATTATATAAAAAAAAAAATGGAAATCAGAATTAAGTTATTTTTGTTCGTCCTGAGGTTGATGTTTTTTTTTTTTTTTTTAATTAGATTCCTGAAATAAATAAGTTCTGGTGTTAAACTGAAGCTTCCTGCTGTTTTTACACCTGAGAGAAAAGTGACTACAAGCAGATCCAGTTTGTGTGAACACGTTAATAAGAGTTAATGTAAAACATCCACAGACTCACACAGAACACGTGATCGTTTCTAGACTTTATTAACCTGAGCGTGGACATAGACACAACTTTATAAAACGAATATCACATTTATTACAAAGATGCACAGTAACACACGTGGTAGCAGTTTCATTACACAATTCAGCACTGCATAAAAAGTACATTAAAAACATCGGCTTATCAGAACATGAACAGCGTCATATAAATATACATTCGATATCCTGTACATGCATATCAGAAACTTCCTGTCTGCTTCCGCTCGTTAAAATTCTGACATGAAACACTTCCTGTATTTGTTCCCACGTGATTAAAATATTTACAAAAAAATCTATTAAATACATCATCTGAAAAAAGAATCATGCGTTAGTGATCATCAGCATCAGAACGTTGTAAACAGTGAGACGATATCGACGACATGCAGGATGAACCAAAGTCATTGGAAATACGAGGGGGTCAAAAAGGGGCCCCGAGTGTTTCAGAGCCGGAGGAGTTCACTCTCACATCTGACCTCTGCTGCTGCTCACACCTCAGTCCGCCCATCACATCGACACAGTGGAGCTTTAAACCTGCCTCCAGGACCACAGGGGATCAAAACCTTCCCCGGGGCCGGAGGAGGTGAAGACACTGCTCTGTTCAGCTCGTCTGATCTGCTGCCGGAAAAAACCATCCACACAACGACAGGAGAGGATTCAACCACAGATACACTTCAGCTGAGAGAGGAGGTAACACCGAGGGGCGGCCTGCATCACATGGTCTCAGTCACAAGACGCACACACACACACACACACACATGCAAAAAGCCAAAAAAACAACCTACGTCCTGATGAATCAAATATTTTGCCTTTCCTGCCTCGTTGGCTGACACCTGCCCTCACTTCACACCTGAGCGTTACACACCGTCACCAAAGATCTGCGCTGCGAAGCTTTGACACAGAAAAATCACGTCTGATGGATTCACACTGGAAACAGGCCGAGCTATCTTCTTATTTTAATACAGAGACTGGGAGGTTTTCAGTGTTTTGGTTTTTTTTTTTTTTCTTCACAGCGGACACACACTTTTCGTTCTGGTTTGTTTGTCGTTAAGGAGAGGACAGGTTTCGTTGAGCTATGGTACAAGCGTGCGGGGCTCTCGTCTGCACGGCGTCTCACTCCGGTGCCGGGTTGATGGGCGGGAGATTCCGCTGCTTAAAGTACTGAGTGACCTGCTGAGGCAGCTCAGCCAGAACCGACTTGGCCAGAGTCTCCTTGGGGGCCTGGGCGAGAGAGAGAGAGAGATGTAGTGAGAGACAAACAAAAACAAGACACCATTTTTATTTAAACTGGTTCTGACTATAGTGGTAACACAACTTTCTAACTGATATAAGCTCATAAATTCTATCACAACTGGAATAACCGGAGCACATATTTCCCAACAGTCTCAGTGAAATCTGTGCGGTTCTTTCATACAAACAACAAATAAACTCACGAACAGACACGAGGGAAAATAAAACTAATTAATCGACAATATGTGGTAAAAGTTGAGCTGCCAACACTTTCATGTTCGTCTCATTAAGACGCTTCCTCAGTCTGAGCTTCTCTCTCTCCCTCTTTGCTCTGGTGTCTCTCGCCCTCCCACCAACAAACTGGGCTGAAGCCAGAAAACACTGACTGTTCCGCCCACAACAAAGGAAGTGAGCTCGCCCACTACCAACACACGCACACGCACACACACATTAACCTGTGTGCTATTCTTCATAACATAATGTAGTAAAACTCATTAACATGAACACAACCAGTTTATTTATGCTTCATCAACAGAACACATGCAGGCAGCTACCCTCATCCACCAGGACGTGAGTGTGTGTGTGTGTGTGTGTGTGTGTGTGTGTGTGTGTGTGTGTGTGTGTGGCTGCAGGTTTCCATTTGATGAAACACACACTCATGCAGAATGACATCATGTTGTTGTCAAAATATTGTCACGTAATTCACCATAACCTCAGAAATAAATGGAAATTAACTAATTTTCTTCAACCAGAATGTTTTTGATAAAACGTTGAAGGTCGCTGAAGTAAAGAAACTTATAGTAGTGAACTAATAGAATCGTTAACGGAGCCTGGACACGTTGTTCAGCAGCTTCACTAACACAGCGAAGACATTCATTAAATTCTTCCGTCTGGAAGCTTCTTACACTCGTCTGCTCGTAACTTCTGCCACTTTTTCACTTCGACATGTTCAAGCTCCTGGAAGTTTTTCTACAACAGCAGATTTCCTCTCACTCCACAGGTTTTCAGTGATTTCAGTCAGGGTTCCAGATCAGATATGATGAGGGACATTTTTTTTGTTGAGTAACCGCAACGTCAAAACGTTCCGGTTATAGAATTAAAAATGACAGAAGTGAATTAGCACCAGCAGATAATGTTGAGCAGGATGAGTTTCAGGGCTTGAAATTGGTTTTGAAGCTGCCCATTCCTTAGCTTAGCTCAATAACAACCAGTGAACCATTCATCCCATAGTTTTCATCCTTTGACTCATACTCACATTACGGAAATCCCTGAACGGGACAAACTGCACAATGTCCCGAACGGCCTCCTCTCCGGAGTTGGACCTCAACACGCTGGCGTCTCCGTCCAGAAACTCCATGGCAGCAAAGTCTGCGTTGCCCACGCCGATTATGATAATGGACATGGGTAGTTTAGACGCCTGCACGATGGCGTGACGGGTCTCGTCCATATCGCTGATGACGCCATCTGTGATTATGAGGAGAGTGAAGTACTGCTGCAGGGAGGGAAGAGAGAGGATGGAGGCGAGATGAAGAGGACAGACAAGAGAAGACAGAAAAAAGGGTTAAAGAGTTTGGAAATGCAAGAATACGCACAGAAAAACAAGACCCTCAGACCACACAAACCTACACGTCTCTGTCGCTCTAATAGAAAAGGAGGTTGTTTGATAATCTGCTCCAAACTGTGCAAACTCATATGTCCGCCCATTAATATGTTAATGAGGGTGTTGATCTGCCCCTTTAAACGGATCCACCACTAAATATAATGAGTTCTTCTCTTCGTGCTTTCACCAAGTTTGGTGTAAATTGGTTCAAACAAACAAACAAATCCACAAACACACACAAAGGAAACACAACAAACACACACAACGATCAGTTCTGCAAACTAGAATCTGAATGGTTTTCCTATGAAACGACAAGATGAAGCCACACACGACTTCACTTCAAAACTTTCTTCAAAAATTCCACTTCCATGATGCACACACACACACAGACACACGCACAGACACACACACAGACACACACACACACAGACACACACACGCGCACACAGACACACGCACACACACACACACACACACACACACACACACACACACACACACACAGAGAGGGCTCTGAAGCCTGTCTCTTTAATGTGCTAACAGCAGCGCTCATTAGAGAATCATTATCACACAGACAGGGTCGCTCACACACTGGGACTCGCATAGACTGCACCGGCCACAGCCTGTGTGTGTGTGTGTGTGTGTGTGTGTGTGTGTGTGTGTGTGTGTGTGAGCGAGCAGCAGGAGTGTGTTCCTACATGGTCACACAGTTTGCAGTTGTAGGTTCTCTCATTATCAGGAGCAAGAACAGGAACACTGAGGAAGAGCAGCTGCTGATTTGTGTGCGGCCTGTTACACACCCACCCACCCACCCACAACACCCACCCACAACACACACACACACACACACACACACACACACACACACACACACACAGTGCCAGTATGTGGTCCACACACTCCTCTGCTGTGCCTGTCACATCTGATTGTGTGTTAACTCCTTGCTAAGGTCCACCCCTGTTTGAACTCACAATAATCTAAAACAAGAAAAGGGTCTGTAATCATTTCCTTACTGAAACAACGGGATTTTGGAACAAGACACAGACGAGTTCGAGCCTTTGTGCGTTCGGCTCCTGTATTTGTTCTCCACAGGGTGACAGGGTACAATTATGGACAAAAAGCCCCGTGGGAGCATAATGATACCCGGCTCCCCAGCTCTCTTCACATTTAGGCAGGAGCCACTGGATGTGTACAAGAGAGGGACATGTAGAGTTTGTTGGAAGCTCGTAGATTCAAACCTGCGAGAGTCACATGGGTGCATTTCTTTTAATGACTGACCACGGTGGGAACATCGTGCTGAGCTCTACACGCAACATGACTCCTAACTCCAGACTCCCACGGCTCTTTGTCAACTCTGATGTCAGCAGAATGTGCAAGACCCCGGTTTGTGCCCACTGTTGTTGTCACTGCGGTGAAGTCACAAACACGAGCCCGAGGACACAAACAGCAGAAACTGAAACACACTGAAGCACAGGAACCTCCTCCAGCTTCACAGGAACCAAAGAGCCTTCTCTTTATTGAGAAATGAGAATATTATCTCTTGTTATTCTGGACATTGAAACAGACACATGACTCTGATGACATGATTCTGCCGCTGCCCTCGGGGGGGGACTCACAGGGGTTTCAGCCTTCGTCAGTGCGAACCACTGCTGCCTCACGGTAGCTAAGTCCCTGGCTAACAGAAGCTAACTGGCAGGTTTAGAAGCTCGGGCGGCAGCGGTGATCAGAATAGACTCTAAACAGCCAAGCTCAATAATGCTCGGTAAGGTAAAACATTATCTCACTCAAATAGCAAAAGGAAATGTTAGAAACTTTTAAAATCAAATTCTGTAAAACTGAAAATTTGAAATTCGGGAAATCAGACGTCCCGGCTTTGGAATTGAACCAATCATCCCCTTGAGTACACGAGACATCAGACATGAACCCTCTTGTACAAGCTGCATTCACAGTTTGTAAAAGTGCTGCAAATGCCACCTCCGCCCTGATGGGAGCCGTGTGACGTAATCACATATCACCTGACACTATGACGGACTGTATAAAAAGATGTTCTCACTTGAACGAGACTGAACCACAGCTCCAGGAGTACTGTAAGAACCCCCCCCTCCCCCCCAAGAAAATCTCCCTGGCTGTGAGACAGAACCTCAGACTTGCCCTTAATTTGGATTTTAGGCGTTAATGCTTAAAATACATAATCCAGTGGTTCACCAGCTGGAAGTAAACTAAGCTGCAATTCATTGGTTGAGATCCAACAGGCTCAGCTGGGATTGGTTCCTTGTCATGTAACATGTGTAGCGTACAGTGGTGGCTAAAGATGGGATGTATATGTGGAAAGTAGTTTCAGAAGCATAAGTCAAAGCTTCGCCTCCAGCATTCAAATGAGAAACTGAGATGGACGTTCAAAAAACGTGTGAAGTTCCCGGTGAGTGTCTCAGCTGCAAAGTGGTGTGAGGACAGAAGACGTGACACAGGAGTTGTCACTCCAGTCTGTCACCCTGTGGTCAACATGGCTGCCGTCCGAGCCAACAGACTGTCGACCACGAAGCTGCTGAAATGAGTCCAAACACCCTCCTCACACGCAGTCAGCCTTCCTGCTCATCCCTTCATCCGCCTGTTGGTCATTTGATCCATTACAGGTTTGTCACTGCCCCTTCCTGCCTGTGTATCTGCTACCGACCCCCCCACGACAGAAAATAAAGATGGACGACGCGTCTACACTTCCTCCAACTGTAATAAAATGAAGCCAAAATACGGGTGCTGCCATCTTGTGCTGGCGACGTCAGTTTGAGGCGTGTTGAGGTTCTTGGCCGTACGCACGCTCGACCAATCGCCTGTCAGTCTGAGTTGTCTCCCCTCGTTTTATAATATTTACTATCAAATAACTATCTTTGGAAACGTGTCTTCATCTTTCTAGTCCAATCTTCTAACATGGAGGAGGTAGGTTTATGAGGTCTACAGCCGCCGGACAACAGGAAGCTGCTCCTGTTGTCCGTCTGTGATCCTGTCTGTGATCCTGTCTGTGATCCTGTCCTGCTTCCAGAGGCTGTTAATAGAAAACGGTGCCCCCCCCCCCCCACTCATGAGACAGAAGAAGCAGTTCGACCACCACATGACCTTTGCTCTTTCACCTCCGGTCGATTTCTGATCCAATACTGAAAATTGATTTCAGTTTTGGATTCTGCAGCGTTCAGTTCGTTCTTCTCTTGAGCTGCGGCTGCATTTTCTCCGTCTCTCTCTGGAACATGTGGACGGTTACTGCCAAGTGTGTCAACAAAGGAGGGTGTTCAGACAGATAGCAGCAAATAGCCGGCTGTGTTTTGGCACTAATTTGTAATACATGACTCTACTCTGTCTCATCTTTCCGCTTTTAATTATACCAGTTCAAATGAGGAATAATTAAAATGTGGAAAGGCAGATAACCAGGTTAATTATTGTCACTCACCGCTGCTTTCTCCTGTTGAAGGGCCTGGGCGGCAAAACGCGCTACGTGGCTGATGATTGGAGCAAAGTTTGTCGGGCCGTAGAACCGAATGTGAGGGAGACAGGTGGAGTAGGCCTGGGCGATGCCCTCCACACCTAGAGACAGAGAATTTAAACACAGCTTCAATTTAAAGAAGAGAGAGCAGAGGAAAAAATGAACTGCCTATGCATTTTATATTTAAATGTGTCCCCCCAGGTCCAGTTTCTCTTCAGCATCTCTATGACTCAAATAAACTTAACCCACAGTGCAACTTAAATATAACCCCTAACCAGACTCAGTGTGATATTTGAATGCATATTAACTTTATAAAAATACACACCTTCATAGTTAGAAATATATATTTTCATCAGCTGCTTCTGTTTTGAAGAGGCAGGACTGGATGCGTTTGGTCTTCAGCAGCGAGCTGAGGATCAATGCTCTGGTTTTGAACGACCTCCTGCCTCTGTCACGCTAAAATATGTTGCTCCATTTCATCCTGGCTCTCACAGTTGTGCTCTCAGCAGTTGGTGCCGACGTTGTTTGCATTTGTCAATAAACACATTCGCATTCCGCACATTTCAAATGCTAATGGAAACATTAAAAGATGCAAATGCACCATATTAAAAAATGAGTTCTCACATTGTTGTCCATTACAATAGACGCAAGAGACTGAGGGGTTATAAATCTGTACAGACTAAACCCGGGCTGAGTCGTGTGCTGAGCTGAATGCAAAGGTCTATATCCTCAACATCAATACTAACATATTAATGTTGAGCACCTTTTCATGTAGCGCAGAAATCACCAGAGTGACAGTTGATCCTCCAGGGACGTGAATATCTGAGCCAAACTGTGTCTGAGACACTTCACTCAAACCACACTTCACCCTCATGGTGGCACTTGAGGAATCTCTTAATCCCTTAGGTTATTACAGATTCATCCTCTGGGAACCATGAGTGTCTAATCCGTCTGGTTGCTGTTTCAGTGGAGACACCACGAATATTTTTACCAAATTTCATTTGTCAAAACATTTCATGAAAAGCCAAACTCTGCTGTTCTGCTTGCATGGACCACGAACTCGTTCCTTCCCAGAGTTGTACTCTAGTAAATAAATATGAATAAACTCGCACCGGTCGGAATGAAAAGGGGAAATTGTTTGTGCACTTGTGTTCATTCTGCGATCTTCAGCAGAAAGTGTAGGTGAAGTGTGAATGTGTTATTAACTCAGACGCCTGCTGCTGTCACAAGACCTGAACACGGCTTTTAATTCAACTGTGTGTCCGACCGTCTTTTTAAACTGAAAAATACTTTAACAGGAGCCGGTCAATATTTTTTACATACAATACTACAGGAAACAAACATTTTACATCTTCGTAGGCCAAGAAACGTCCCAGCAAATCATATCTGCTCATGCTGCTCGCAGGCAGAGCACGTGGGTATAAAAGCCAGAGAGAGGACGACAACCTTTAAGTCGAGTTGAGCGACAGCTGATGAGTGGAACAGTTGTAAACAATGAGTCAGCGTGTGTGTGTGTGAGCTCGGTCTTGTTAATGGAGAAGTCAAATTTGTTCACAGGGATGTTTAAAATGAACCGTTCACCAACAGTAGTAATTTGACAGATTGATAGAAACACTTCAACGGTTAAATCTCAGACGTGTGGAGACACTAAGTTTCTTTCAGCACCATGTATTATTACGTCACAAGTTATATTTAAGACTTTTTGGGTGAAAACATAATCAGTACGTGGACACGCTGTGGACGGGTCGTCACTTGTGTTTCTCACTTGTGCGTCTCACCTGAACAGAAAGGGTTCGTGGGGTTGAAGTTGATGGCGAATTCGTGCGACACCTAAGGAGACGACAAACAGACAATAAACGTGATATTCGTCCTTCACTCCGCAGTAAAAATACTGATGAGAAATACAGTCCGTTTTTCTCCCACACCTTCTCCCTCCCACCCTCTCTCTCCGTGCACTACTCTCTCTCTCTCCTTTGTCCTTTTCATCAGCTCAGTGCCATGGCAACACAGATGGGTTGACAGTTGCGTAATCATGTGAATATGCATGAAAATGCTGTTTTCTGTCTGTGTGTTTATAGAAATGTAAGTTTGCATATGACCCCCCCCCCCCTTCTTTCACTCTCTCTGCACACACACACACACACACACACACACACACCAAGAAATCAGCAACAAACACACGTTTACCTTCCAGTCTGGTGGGAGTTGAGCTCCAAATCCCAGAGCAGGAAACATTTTGTCGCTGCGGGGGAAACCATGACATCAGATTGGAACAGCAGTTAAACGTTTTTTATTTTTCAGCCACATTCAACAAGCTGGATTTTCGACAGCAGAGGAAAATCCCATTACCTCGTCCACAAAGACACACACAGACATTTGCAGAGAAACAAGCAGAGGTGGCAGAAAAACTGTCAATAAGGAAAGAGGTTTACCTGAAGGGCAGGATACACACACACACATATATATATAAGAATTATCTTTAAAACTATGTACAAATGCATGGAAGTATTTGCTGCCATGCCAGAAAAAGAAAAAACGGATCAGTATCACGTTATATAAGTTATAAATTCATTGTTATAACATGTTTTTCATATATTTTCAATGTATAAACACGCAGAGCAGATGTGTGCACCATGTCTGTGACTGTCATTCCAAAGCACTGCACAGTGGGGCTCAGGTAGGCGATGGGATTAAGATGGATATTAAGGAACTGATAAACCTGTTAGACGCTTTCTGTGAACCCCAGTGTGACGTGCAGGGAAATCTCTTCTACTTCACTTTTACATTAAATAAACTGAGCCGTCGTTTTGTGTTTGCAGAGACAACAGATCCAAGTCTTCATGCAAAAACATCATACTCACGTGTCATAGTCCTGTATGATTTGTCCCACAGCTAAAATGGCAGCGAGATACTCGTTGCTGCCCAGTGGGTTGATGTAATGGAGGGAGGAGGGCTCTCGGGGGTTCCCATTGGATGCTGTGAAGTCAATACCCACCTATCGAAATAGAGAAATAACGACTCAGTTGAGGTCATCCTCTAAGAAACCTGTAGTGTAGTGATGAGTTTCATGGTCTCAACATACTGTGACTGTTCTCATGACATAAAAGGAAATTGTAAAAATCCAGTTTTATTGTATTTCCTCTGATTTCCTCTGAGAGGAACTGGTCAGAAAGTATAATGATTGTTCTGCCATCTACAAAAGTTGCACAGGTTTTCAGTTCAGTTCTGCAAAGTTAAAAAGCTGAAAGTCAGAGTGAGCTCCTCTTCTCCCCAGAAAACACATCATGTTTGTTCCAGAATTACAAACTGAACGTCAATTTTTTTATTATCTGAACGCAGCCCGAGCTCAATGAGGTTAACGTGCGCCGATTTCCCCGATTACAGACACGTGCAGAGTAATAATAAAAAATTCTCAATAACCTGTGCAGAAACGACATTCTACTTTTATTTCAAACACACCTTGATAACTCAGAAGATAATAAAAACATGAAAGTCGATATTTTCTATAAACTGACTGAAAACAACCAGAAGACGATTCTTCATCTGTTCCATTAAAAACAATTTAAAGTGAAGGTCTGAAGGAAACAATAAAGAAAATGGAGCTGCAGTTACTGGACCGTCTCGTTATCTCGGAGTAAGAACGTCAACAGTACGGTTCTGAAAAGATCTGTTGCTTTTCAACTTCATACGACTCATTCTTCATTCTGTTAATCCCCACAATGCAAGCTGTTGCTTTTAGTAAAACAAACAACTATGGCTACGTAAACAGAAAATGGCTGTCAGTTTGTCTGAGCAGTTTCTCTGATTCGTTAAACTCATTCAAATCTTCTGATTTGCTTAAAACTAGGGTGAAAAAAAAAGCTTTTAATCCGAGGACAGATGAATAAATACTGAACTGCAGCCGTGTCTGAAAAAGAAAAATGAAAAGTCCCTGAATTCACACAAAGGCATATTTTTAACACAGATGACCACAGGGTGACACTGTGAGAACATACACAAAGACACATGCGGAGACACACAGCCGAACATTATGAGATTAAAAGTGACAAGCTTTCCCTCAGGCGTCCAAAAGGCAGCCCCCCCCCCACGCCTTCCATCAGCTTAAAGATTTTCTCAACCATCTCCCTCTTTGTGCAATTTGTTTGTCTGGAGCTGCTGAGTTTGATAAAATAACAATGTCCTGCTTCAGTAAGGACAACAGAAGAAGAAGAAGAACAAAATGGAGAAGTGGTGGATGTGTGAGTGCAAGAGAGAAAATTGGGCAAATGAGGTGAAGAATGGGAGGGAGGAGAGATGGGGGAGAATAAAGAGCAGCAGGAGTGACGGACACACAGATGAAGGGTGACAGAATTAGGGTGCTGCTGTGTACTTTGTAAATGTGTTGGCATGTGCTGTTGGTTCCTGGAACATACGTGTGATGTTGCACACAACTCAGCTCATTTAAACTGTCGGAGCTATTTCACGTGTCATTCTGTTTACATTGTGTATATAAGTGCTGTTTCTCCTCATGGTTAAATTACACACGTTCACTTAGCTACACCTTTTTTCTTTTAACGTCTGTGTGACCAGAAGAGTTTCCATCGAGATGCTGGGCTCTAAAGTCGTGACCGAGCTTCCTCTCAAACACTCGTGCTAACCACAACTTCCTTTCCCAGAGACAGGTTATACTGAATATTGAACAAAGCCCAAGATGCATTTTAAGCGTGTTCACAGTCGAGTTAATCTCAGAGCAAAGAGGCGCTCAGCTCTGAACAGCGCCCCGAGGCCTGTTTCCAGAAACCAGGCGGACTGGCATCGCTTCTACAGGTGTCAACTGAGACCAGAGGAACAGAGATGTAATCTCACGTCTTTATACTGTCTGTCCTCTTCGGTCTGATGATACTGATGGACTTTACAACTCATGTAAAGGAGCAAACGCATTTTTCATCCTTAGCTCCTGAATACATTTTTCATTTTAACCAAAAATATAAAGAAAGAAAAACAGAGCAGTTAGTTTTTTTTACACATCACTTTGAGTAACGATGGGAAAGGTGAACAAGTGAAAATACAGCAAAATCTACGGGAATCACACGTAATGAAACCAATGCATTCAAATCACACAGCTGCAACCTTCATCTGTGCTTACATGTATATGTACAAGTGTATTCCCCCCCCATTGTATATATAAGTGATAGTATCATGGTGCGTTTCCTTCGGCGCCCTCCTCAGTGACATTATCAGTTTGATGGCTGTGAATTCGATGACGTAGCGGACGACACTGTTCTGTCTCCAACCTATTCCTCAACTCAAGCTTCTACTAATGACTGACACACGCAGATGAAATGCAATATGATAAAGAAAAAAAAATGAATGTGGAGCGACAGAGCAGCATCACATCACTGTTTATGTCACAACGGCAACGTGGCAGAAAAACATCTGTGACTGCAGCACGTTGGAGGATTGCCACTTCGGCAAAATGACTAAAATAACAAACAGCTCTCACGCCAGGACCCTCAGAGTCACAGCCAGAGAGACGTGTCAGAATCAGGGTGCTGGTGTGCAGCTGGACGCAAAAACACAGGAGCGAGATCAGTGGTAAAACAAAAGGTGTCTTTTAATTAAAGGTTCAAAGTCCAAAGATTAAAAAAAAAAACACAGGAAACTGGAGGAAGAGGAAAAACTCACGAGCGATGGACGTGTGGAAGAATGACGACGAAGTGACAAGAACAAAGGGAAGCACAGAGACTTATATACACAGAGGGGGGGAGGGGCGGATAATAGAACACAGGTGAAACACATGAGGAACAGGTGGAGACCATCATCACAGGGGGCGGGAAACAGGACGAAGACAGGAAGTCGAGGCAGAGACACACGAGGAGTAACAACTTCAAAATAAAACAGGAAACACAGAACTCACAATGAAACAACTGAACACAAACCTCAACACAAGGAAGACGGGACGAAGTCCACGAGCAAAACCAAATACTCTGAAGCACTAAAGAGTTCCACAGCCTGGAGTCATGACAGGATGGATGGAT